TTTTTTTTTCTCTTGTTTTCAGTGATAAAAAGATGCGAGTTTAAGTCAACAACAAGCACAGACTACTTCTTGGTACCAGGTCACCCGCGCTCGTTTATCCCTAAAGGAACTGAACTGACGATACTCGGGCAAATGCCAAACGGTCGCTGGCGATGCTTTGTTGAGCTGCCAAAAAACAAGTTTACGGTTCTCACAAATGGAAATCACTGGGAAACATTCTCTGAAGTTGAGAGTATTTCATCGTTTGACATCAGCGAGGAAGGCGCGATTCTTAACTCGAGCTCAAAAACTGAAACTTTTATAGGAAGTGTGCCAAGTAGTCTGCTCGTTGAACTGAGTCTTCCCTCAGTTTCTAAACTAAAATATGAAGACGGGACGCCCATTGCCTCCCCAGGGGACACCCCACAATTATCCCCCTTCCCCTCCCCTCCTCATTCGCCCTATTCCAGGCACAAAAACAACAAAGATTCCTTGCCGAATAATAAACGAAGTTCTTTACGTCGATCTATCGCGAGTGAAAATCTAAGTGAACAGGACATCTGGGAGCAGTTTTGCATACCCTCCCCTCCCTCGTCGCCTGCTACGTCGCGGTCGACCACTCCTTCGCTCTCGCGCTCAAATTCATCTGGAGCATCATTGGAGAATATTGATTTTGATCATACAACTGAACATGAGAAAAGATATGCGGACGCAAGTAAGGGAAATGACCAAATGGAAAGCGAAAATATGGGAGGTGAAGAAATAAGAAATAAAGATTGCTCTCAAGTTGCTCTTAGGCGAAGAAAAGAAGACAGTGCAGGAAGAACTACTTTGAATGTGAAAAGTCATAGAGAAGCGATTCTTATGAATGATGATGTGCCAGAAACGTACATTGGTAGTGATTCGGAAGATGATAGGATGGTTACAGTTATAGATGAAGTTCCACCGCATGAGGCTGAAGAAGCTTTGAGAACGGAGAAAGAAACTGTTAAAATGCGCGTAAAGAAGAACACACCACAGCGTGAGTTTGGTGAGTCAAGATCCAGTGTTTTGGAAGAAAATACGCACGGAAATGTTCCAATTTCATTCAGTTGTTCGTAATGCTTATTGTCAGCCATTCAGCCTTTAATGAGGCTGTGTCGCGGCTGTCAAGCTCACTTTGTTATAATTGTTAGGGAGTTTAAGCAGCGACGTTTTTGAGCGACACGTCAACCGGAAGTGAGCCTTTTTGTCTTTTTAAATGCCTTGACGTTACCATATTTGTTTTGCGAAGTGTCTTTACTCTTATAGAGACGATTTGCCCTAAAATTTGTTCAAAGTCGTGGCTCAAGAGTGCAAAAAGTCCGCTTCCGGTCGACTTGCATCGCTCACAAACGTCGCTGCTCAAACTCCCTATTAACCCTTTAAGTCCCAATAGTGACCAACATCAATTTTCTTCTAACAATATCCAAACAATGTCAAGAGATTAGGTTATGAGAATTAACAAAATGATCACCTAAGGGAAAATGCTTTGATCTTTTATCAAATTCTTTCAATCCATTCATGAAAGAAATGCATAGAGATCAGTTTGGAGAATTTGTATGTGGATATTGGGGCTTAAAGGGTTAATATTATTGTCAGAGACACACCCTTATTCGCAATGGAGTTTAACGTTAGCAAAGAAATTGCTTGCAAATGGCAAGTTCACTTCTTTATGTTAAACACTAGACAGTGTCTCCCATGCATTCCGTTCAAGACAGAAAGAATGAACTTTGGAAAACTGTTACGCTAACAAGTTTTCAAAAATCCGTTTCAGTCTTCTTGAGGTTTGTACATCCGTGCCTCCTTTGTATTTGCTGTGCTACTTACACCTTTTTAAAATGTTTTGAGCCATAATTTTTATGTTTCACTCGGATCAATATAGGTTTCTGAGAAACTGCCCACCTACCCCTCCCCTAAACCATGCAACATTTTACCCTAAATGAAAAGTAAGAGTTAATAGCTTATAGGAGGGGTAGGTGGGCAGTTTCCCAGAAAACCTAAATTGATACTTTCACTCAATTTGGTGACGTTTCCCACTCTTTGAATTTTGATATATTTCGTGGCAAAGCGCGTTTAAGCTCATGACGAATCTTTATAGCCAACAACATCACGGCTTAACTGAAAGACGACCAATAACATCGCGACTTAACTGACTTATCAGGTCAATAACCAGAGTTTAATGCCATCAACAGACGTGATACAACTCACTTTGACTCTGAAGATGACTACCGCACTAGTTGTCGAAACGTCAGTCACTGTCAACAACAAGAGTTCACCGAGACGATCATACTCAACCTACTAATGAAATGACTCCTGGATTCAAACCTTTCATAACATGTAGATTGTCCTTATTTTGCAGACGCTGAGTCACCAGGTGGAGTGCGGCCAAACTATGCTTTCCTGGTGACCAAAAAATTAAGGCAACGAGGAATAAGCTTAATCGTGGGATCGTCAAGTTCAGGTGGGAACACTTTGCGGGCGTTTCCTCCAACCCCCCACTCCCCCCCACTCCATTCATTGATTTGATTTGATTCATTTATTCATTTAATTGGTTGACTGTCACTACAGAAGGAAGGAGGCAAGAATCGCGCATTATTTCATGCGGAGTCGGTAGCCTATTGGTAGTGTCAAACAATTCATAGATACCAGTTGTTTGATCGAGGGAGCTCCAACATAGGTTATTTGTTCACCACAATAAGATTGAAAATTAGCTGACGTTTCTATCGTTACGACAGTTTTGTTTAAGGAAGGCTTAAGTTGGGCGTTAGAGGCGATGTAGCGACGTTTCACTGGGCTTGAAGAGATGATCAAAGAATCTTTGTCTGCCCAGGCAATATAATCATAGCACTAGTTTTTTTTTCCTAATGAGATCGTTCTTATAGGGGCCATGTTGCGTGAATATTGCTGTTCAAGGTGAATTCTGCGCTAAAGTCATTACTTACGTGTTTACCCATACACAAAATGGGCCTTTAGAGTTACGAAGAAGATATCTGACAAATTTTATCACGGAGCACTAACCATGATATTTTTGTGGGGGTTTGCAGGCATCACATTAAAACTTGAAAAAGTTGGCTCAACTTTTTCAAGTTTGAATCCATGTCCATCCTTGCCATCTGTTGCAACAGGCGACAGAAAATAGTTTGAGTGCCTTAATATAGTCTTAAATAACAAAACTGGACCATTATTTTTGGAATTCAATTGATGCGAAAAAAAGTGTTAGCTTTTTAGAAATACAAGGTGTAGCCTCTTGATGCAATCAACCGGCATAACAAAACAAGGTTCTTGCTGCTAGTTGTAGTTTTAGACCGAAAAGAGAAGGGTAAATGCTTTTGATAGAAGAATTATATTGATACAGAGTAAATGTTTCATTTAAAAAGGAAACTTCGCTTACTGTCTTTGGCCTTTTTTCTGGTTTCCGTAATTAGCAAAACAGAATATGAAAAAGTTCCACTTGACAGCTAAATCAATAAACGGAGGCCGATCTTGTTATCAAGACGTCATGTTTTGAGTGGCTATATTTAAAGCTGCATGTATTAACGTCCTCCGTCGCTACAATGGTATAAGGTATTTCCGCTTCCAAATTCTGGATTCCCTTGTTTTGAGCAATTCTGTTGCCAAAAACAATAAGCATTTTACATCTCAATTTAAATCCCTCCACTTTTGTACTGAAATTCATCGTAAGGGTAGGCCACTAATATAATTTTAAACTTAATAATTGTCGTAAATAAATTATTTTTATCTAATTCTCACTTGACTTATATTCTGTCAACAGAAGAAGAAGATGACGGTGATACAGGTGAAAGATAATTAATTTACTATTTGCTTAATTGTAAGAAAAACAAGTAGTATAATCCTTCACTCGCAGGTGGCGCTGTTCTTTTTGTCGTTTACGTTTCTGGTTGCATGAATGACAGGGAACCTTCATCTCTGACAATTAGAGTTTGGGTTAAGTAAATTCAGAAAGGCACTACAATCAAACACCGCTTTACGGACACTCGCTTAATATAGTTTGCTTCGTCCTTTCGTCCCTGCTTCGTCGCTAAATTCAGCCCGATTAATACGGACACTTTCTACGGCCCCATCAGTTTCCGTATTAACGGAGTTTGACCCTACTGTGACTTGTTAATAGTTCAAGTAATGTATATAGTACTGCAGTCCGGCTAATCTCCCGTAGGCAACCCTCAAACACAGGAAGATTTAGTGGTCGCTTACGGGAGATTTCGCTGAAGAGAGTCGAACCAGAAAGGGTCTCGTCCGAGAAGACATCTTTTAGAAGAGAATTTACCACTTGCAATTTTTAAGTTAATACGGTATGTGTAGTTCCATGTTGTCACTTGTCGTGTTGAGTAGTACACACTTCGAACAGACCTTGCGTTAAGTGTTCGCTTACAAGAGGTTTAAAAACCGTTAGTTAGGAAACCTTCATCGCCCAAAAGTAGTCGCGGTTGCTTACTTAAGGCGGTCGCCAACTATAGGGCTTCGACTGGGAAAATCTTGCTGCTTACAGGAGGTGGTCGCACATGGAGTTCGGAAGTAGTTTTAACTATAAGTTTCTTACTAACAACAACTTTTGGTCAAATTGTGATGGGGCTTTGACTGGGAAAACTTTTGTGGTTACGAGAGATGGTAGCACATAGTGTTCAGAAGTAGTTACTAATACTTAGTTGATAGCAATAGCCCTTTGTCAAGTTATATTTATTGTTGTTGTTGTTGTTGTTGTTGTTGTTGTTGTTGTAAAGTGTCCCAGTTGGGAGGTCGCCTAAGACCACTCAGTAGTTCCGACGCTTTCTAAATAAAGTTATTTGTTGATCGACTGGTATATTTTCCGCAGGTCCAGGATATTCATCAAAGCTGTCGCTAAGGTGAGTGAGTTGCCTCTGTAGGACTAAAAAACAATATTTCGCGGATTCAGTATTATCACAATGTTTATCAAAATGGTTTAACTGATTTCTTGAAGTGACAGCATCATGTTATTTCAATTTGCTGTGGGTTTTGTCCTTACCGCGAGAGATTTTTCTCCGGGATTTGCAGTTTTCTCTCCTCATTACCTAACACTTCCAAAGTTCCCGTTCTATCGTGTGCGAACTCTCGTGATTTCTGTGGGGTTAACAAGGTACATTTTTAATGTCTTTGCGTCGATCTATTTGTTTGTCGTGATGTCTTGGTTGGCTAAGGAGAGAATTTTTCTTGTGAGTGGTTACAAAACAAACACCTCCCAATTCCAGTTCTTCCTGGAACGCAGGAACTCTCGCTAAGTGAGGTCCTTAGGGCTTTGGATATTTTTGAATAAATAAACAATGTACATTTTTATTGTTTGTACGCCTATCTATTTGACTACCGTGATTTCGTGATTGCCTGAAGAAGGGATGTTCCTTGAGAATGGTTAGATCACGCTGGGAGATTCTCTTTTTTTCCCCCTTTTTTTGAATAATTGATCTATTTTTCTCCAGGGAACAGCAATCTCACTAGGAAACAAAGTTCCTAAGCATAGAGTACTAAAGTGATGACGTCATAAATAGTACTCTACTGTCAAGTTGCGGGTTAAATTACATTATTCTTATCTCTCGTTTCAGACGTTTGGATGCAGAATTTACGCGTTATGAAAAAGAGGAGGCTGAGGGAGGTATGGATTTTATTTCTTCTTGTTTACTTCAGCCACGTATCAACATGTGCAGTGTCTTGTACACCCATTGTTTATGTACGTAAGAAAGTTCGGATTAATTTAGGTTTCCAGGCAACTTCCCAACAACCCCTTCCCTAAGCAAACATTTTGCCCAAAGTGAGAAGTAAGTGTTAATGTTGGCTTAGGGGAGGGGTAGGTGGACAGTTACCCAAAAACCTAAATTAATTCGAAAGTTCTCCTAGTTGATGAAAAGCTCGCTCTATGTGGCTCTAATAAAATTTGTGATATGACATCAGGATAATTAGCAATTTGGGCCTCGGCGGATAACGCCTTCTGAGATCTGAATAGTTCATCAGATTATACGAAAGCCGCATTCAATCATGAATTGTTT